GATGTCATGTAGCCTCCTGATTATAAATGTGGCGCGCTACACATCCATAATCAAGACTCTACTAGACACGGCTCATAGACAACCCCTAGGACAGACTTGCTCTGATACCAAGTTTGTCACCACCCAAACTGGAGGGCCATGACTAGCACCCTACCACACTTGCCGAGCACCAACGTACATTTCATTTAACCTTCATTATTATCTTTTAGGGCTGACGAGATCAATATAAATGATAGACTTGGATCATGGACAACCAATAATAAAATATGACGACATGAACATACATAGTAGGGGATGACCAGAAAATCAAGAAACTACATATAAGNTATAGGTCCAAATATCTTAAACCGCCTTAGTGGGCCCCATAGAGAGGTGCTTGGCGCGGTCTCGAGAAAATGCGAATATCTCTCTACTCCAAGATCGTATCGATGAACGGTTTAATGCGATGGAAACTAGACTCATAGATTTTTAATTGGTTGGTAGATAACCCCGTAATTCCTTGTATATTAGGAGAATCGATTAGAAACATTTGACCAAATGTTTAAGTAAAATTATTAACCTAAGTTGCGACAACTTTTGTCGACTTTTGTTTCATAACTTGTTTGACTTCAAGACTTATGATATGGATATTATATGATTAAAATACCTTAATAAATGAACTCTTGAGTGTATTAAGCACCGCTAGATTACTTGAAAATATGAGTTACAACATCCTTGATTCATTTAACTTCTAATACTTGTTAATCACCCTTATACACTCTTGTATCACTTAAGACCAATAGGATTGACTTCTTATCATCTCAAAGATAATTCCTTCTTGGATTTATGTTAACTAATATATGGCATGAACTAACACATGTGGATATGGGTTGTAACACTTAAATTGTGGTCTACTGCCGCGTCTCTTTGTGGATATAATTAATTAAGTTTTATCCACTTATTAGTTAATCGGGTAATGTCCTGTTACCCGATAATTAATCAATTACCCGCATAATTTAAAAATTACCACGAATTACTTAAAATTCTATTTGTTTTTAAAATACTTCATATATACTTTATATATTATACCACCGTGGTCATATGGTACCTTGCATGGTACTAGTCCATAATTATCGGGTATTATCGCTTGACCCGTATTTTATTCTAAATTGTCCATTTTCAACGAAACTCATTTTCTTTAATCTGTGTACCCCTTTATCCTTCATAACACTTATTTATCGCTTGTTATAAATAGCGTAAGTACATTGACGTCAAGGTGATCTCATCCCCGGGTCTACGTCGGTAAACTAAAAACGAAATTTTAACGTACGAAAACGCGAGACGTAACAAAAGTGGAGGCAAAAAAATGGTTCGCGTCATGCTGTGATGGTAAATCAAGCGTTTGTTGGGAGGCAACCCAATTTTACTGCTTTCTTGTATTTTATTTTTTTAATTGTATTATTTTTGTAGTGTCAAAATTTTATTTTCTAGGAGCATGGAAAGCAAAGCTATTGGAAGGATGCAACAACAAACCAGATGGTTGGAACTAAGTGTGAGGTATCCGCACGAAGGACCAAGCCTGAGAGAAGTCTGAGTACCTCATGAGCTGCTAGTGCTTCGGCCTTTGGCCTACCAGGGAGTTTCTTTTACCCTCTTATTAGTATGGTGTGCATTGGGGAAAATGCACAATTTTAAGTGTGTGGTGAGGAGATTGTCTGGGTGCCTTTCTATGCTATATTATTTGTATTAGTTTAATTGAATATTTTTTTTTATTTTTTAGAAAAATGAAAAAAATATTGGACTTTTTCTGATGATGGATATCCTAGACAATTTTCTTGAGGGATTTAATTCTAAAGAAAAAAAAAGATTTTCTTTATAGGTAGTGTAGTAATTACCCCTTGGTTTTTCTTTGTGCCGTGGTTCTTTTCCAAGGATTTTATTTGAATTGGGTGTAGTTAGTTTTTATTTTTTTGTTAGAAATAGGAAAACTTATGTTGTGTTTTTAAATGAAGCAATATCTCTTGACTTTGTTATGCCTTGAGAATTGTGAGTACTTTGGTTGTGACGCTTAGGCTCAGTTTTGACTTTTGTATAAGTACCTTAAATTGTATGATTTTGACTTTGCTTAACTGCTTTGACTGGAGTGTCGTGATAATACTAATCCTGAGTGAGTTATGTGCCATATCTGTGTGAGGTTTGTATGTATTCAGTGCATCACATTTGATGTCTAGAACTTGCCCCGTGTGTTTGTAAAGCAAAATAGTAGTTTTGTTCAGTCTTGGAAGTGACATAGGCATTTCTTTGTTGAGCCAGATATGTATATTTTACCCACCTAATTGTTATGTATCATAGTTAACCCCTTTGAGTCTGTAATCCTGTTTCTTTGGCAACCACATTACAAGCCTTACCCAATTGTTTGAATTAACCATCTATTTGAACCTTTTCACCTCTCATGAGCACTTGAATTGTTATGAACTTTGTAAAAGTTAAAGTGTGGGGTTGTTGGTTTGGCTTTTGAGTGGAGCTAATGAAATAAAGAGAAAGGTGCACTGTCTTGACAAAAAATAAGAGCCACTTAAATTGGAAAAAAAAGAAAAACAAATAGTTGTATTGTTGTGGAAATTTTTTTTTCTTGATAAGTGGTGGCTCTTGAGGTAAGTGTGCTTAAAGAAGTATGGAGTTAATATATATATTGATGTGAATGTGGAGTTATGGTTTGACATAAGTATGAGTTTGAATGTTAGAGTATATGTATTAAAGTATTTAGGGAGGTGTCGTCACTCTTATATCGAAATGTATCCTACCCGACCCGTAGCCTACATTACAACCAATTAAAGTCCTACTTGATCCTAGACTGAATGAGCTCGATTAGTAGAGTAGTACATTATGGGCAAGCCTATGGTGCATCTTTTGTGGCATATGAATGTTATTTATGAGAGTGAGTGAATTTTTTCTATCTTGAGTTCTTAATTGTTCTTAAATTTTTTGGTGTGTGGAACTACTCTCTTTTGTTGTATGAGGGCACTTGATTCATGAAGGAAAGGTAATGTCAGTGACCTCTATGTTAGAGTAAGTAAGTTGTGAATAATGCATGGTACTTGTGAGTCAAATCTTTAGTTGAAGATGTTACACTTTTGTGCTTAGTCTATTTTAAATATTCTTGGTGTGATGAGCTAGGAGAATTGTTTAAAAAAAAAGGTCGTGTCTATATAAAGTGTAGTTTGATTGCTCGAGGACGAGCAATGGTTTAAGTGTGGGGTGTTGATGAGAGGCTATAATTGCATATTTTAGTCGCTTATTACACTCTAATTCACTGTATTTTAATTGAGTTTGAGCTTTAATCACTAGTGTTTTGCACTAATTGTATATTTTATGCCTTGTAGGAGTGATTTCGAGCTATGTAGATATTATGGAATGTATTCAAGTGATTTGGAGCATTGAAGTCTGAGTAAAATCCAAGGAATCAAGCCGGGATCGTGTTCGGAGATCAATGGATGATAGTTAAGAACGAAACGGAGAATCAAGCGGGTATACGACGCACTGTCTAGTAAAATGCACATAATATTTTTCTCAGAAGTCCGTTTGGGCTCCACAATCATTGGAAAGCTATTTGAAAGGGCTACAACTTTCATGTTTTGCATTTTTGCAAATTCCAGCTACCGCGGCGCGTGGAGCGACGCCTGTGAAAATTTCTTGCAGCCAGTCAGAATCAGCAATCTAAACTTTTCCATTGCCGCCCCGCATGGTGCATCGCCCCATGTGGTGTGGTAGTGCAAATTTTACAAAGTCAGAGTCCTAGCAGGAAAAGGTGTTTCATTTAGGCCTGACCCTATTTGGTATAAATACTTGTAAAAATACTATTTTGAAGGAGTTGGACATACTTTTGACATATCTTAGACCTAAGGAGTCTAAGGAGATCGAGATTCGACCTAAGGAGGCAGAGACACAATAGGAGCAAGGCAGGGAATTCTTCTACGAGTTTTTCCGTCCTCTTCCTATTTTTCAGTGTTGGTTATGACTTTTATTATTGTAGTTTTACATACTATTATGAATAGCTAATTTGTTATCTAGGGTTTTGATGGAACCTTTTGTTGGATAAATTCTTGTTATGTTTTTATATAATTGAGCCATAATATTTTCTCTATTTGTTCAACTATATTATTCTTGTGGTTGATTGAAGCGCCCTCAATTAGTTATGCTTATTTAGTATGTATTACTCGGGAGAGAAAGTATATTTAGGTAGTTGTTGAATAATATCACTCCCGATGTATGTGAGGAATCAATAACCAAGGGTTTAAAGGTGAGATTAGGGATAACGAAACCTTGGGTGTGATCTAAGTGAGCTGTAATTAAAGCCAACTAGCGTAACTCGGGAGAGTATGTCTAGTAAATTGTTATAATTACTCGGGAGAGAATTACAACACGCAGTGTGCTCATGATCGGTAGAGAATACTTAGGCAAAATTATAGAAGACATAGCGGGAAGGATTCCGATAATTGGGAAATCATAACTCTAGACCTCCTTAATCTTGTCTCTAACCCTTAGTATCTGTAGTTGTTAATTTACTATTTTATTTTGTTAGTTAATTAGTTAAACACAAGAATCTTAATATCTATAAGTTAGGAACTGTTCAAGCTTGTCTTCTTGGTGATAGTGAACAGCTGTAGCTAGGCCTTAGTTCTCTGTGGGATTCGACTCCGGACTTTTAAACTGGATTATATTTGCAACGACCACTTAGTCCTTTTTATAAGGCATAGTTGGGCGTGATCATTGAACTTCTTGAAACTGTACCTTGCTTCTTTGATTTCTAGGATATCAAGACTTCTCCAAACTTGATCATATAACCAGTTACCGATCTTCTTGTTTCCACATAAACACCCCAGTCTGAATCACAACAGGTAGTTAACTTCATATTTCCATCTGCTGGCATGAATTGGCCTTGACCTGGAGTTCCCTTTATATACCTGATGACCCTCATGGCTGCAGTCATGTGAGATTGTTTAGGAGAATGCATGAACTTACTAAACTTGAACCACAAAGGCTATGTCAGGCCTAGTCATGGTTAAGTACAATCGTCTGCCTACTATTCTCTGATATTTCCCTTTGTCTTCAAGTTCATTGTCATTGTCACTACCATTCTTGGTGACAACCTTATCAAATTCCATAGAGGTTAGCTTGTGATTGAACTCTAGTGGACTAGTTACTGGTCCACCTAACAAACCAAGTTCAGAAACTAGTTCAAGTGCATACTTTCTTTGGCACATTTGAATTTCTTTTTCTGATCTAGAAAATTCAATGCCCAAGAAGTATTTTAGTTCCCCAAGATCTTTCATTTTGAATCTGACTTGTAAGTCCTTCCTCACTTGCTCAATCAGCTTCAAGTTGGTTCCTGTTGCTAAGAGATCATCCACATAGACAAGTATGACCACCTGATGTGATTCTTTTTGTTGTATGAAGAGAGAATAGTCATAATGAGAGTGTTTAAACCCCATATTCAATAGAGCTTCTGTTAACTTCAAGTTCCACTATCTAGGAGCTTGTTTGAGCCCATACAAGGACTTGTTGAGCTTGCACACCTTTTGATACACCCCCTGGCTTGAAAATCCAATTGGAATTTGCATAAAGACTTCTTCAGAAAGATCCCCTTGAAGAAATGTATTATGCATATCTATCTGAAATATGTATCGGTGAGAAGCTATCACGACCAAGATTTCCCACCCTTGGGAGTCGTGATGGCGCCTACTAGTGAAAGCTTGGCAAGCCAATCATTACAATTATTTAACCCATTTCATTTTTAATCCCTTAACAATTGTGAGTTAATATTTTATAAATAGCGGAAGAACAAAATGTAACAATTTAAACTAATACCGACAAATCCATAAACAAAAGCTACCCAGAACTGGTGTCACAATCTCATAGACTATCTAGGAATACTACAAATAGGGGTCTGAAAGATAAATACAAAGCTATTTCTGAAATACATAAAAGAAACAATATGGAAATATAGAAGGAGATGTCAAGGCTTGCGGACGCCTGCAGGACTACCTCGGGTCGCCTGATGGACTGAAGGCAACAACCTCATTGCGGTCTGAAAGTTGTAGCACCGGGATCTGCACACAGTGCAGAGTGTAGTATCAGCACAACTGACCCCATGTGCTGGTAAGTGCCTAGCCTAACCTTAGCAATGTAGTGACGAGGCTAGGACAAAACTACAAAATAAACCTGTGCAGTTATATCATATACAACAAGTAATAATGACATAAACTAGCAGTTAAAGATGGGAAGGGGAAAACATGCTGCGGGGAACATCATGTACAAACAAATTTCAGTAAAGAAGTGAAACAAATACAAAAATTCAACTGTAAGCAAGAATAAGGAAGTCAAGGAGAAGTGCACGACATCACCCTTCGTGGTTTTACTCTCGTTCTCACCATAAGAATCAATATAATCGGCATTGACATCACCCTTCGTACTTTTACCTCACATAATCATGGCACAGAATGATCCTTCGTGCATTATCACTCATATTATGGCACGACATTGTACATCGTGAGGCACGACATCACCTTTCATGCTTTAACCTCACAATATCGGCACGACATCACCCTTCGTGCTTTTACCTCACAATATCGGCACGACATCACCCATCGTGCATTAAGACCCTCAAAATCATGCACAACATCACCCTTCGTGGTTTACATTCTTCCTCACCCAATAAAAAATCACAAAGCAATTTGGGCAAGGGAATCAATAATATCACAATAAAATCACGGCAAGGGAACAATAGTATAACAACAATATCCCGGCAAGGGAACAATAGCATAAGTAATAAAATTCTGGCAAGGGAGATAATATCAAAAGCAATAACATCCCAGCAAGGGAGACAATATAATAAACCTTTTCTCTTTTCCACAATTACTTCACAACTCAATTCTCAACTTGATCCAACACTCTACAATTTTCAATTACCAATAATACTTCCACAAGCCTTGTTCAACAATAGAAATAATCATATAAAGCATGAACAATACGAAATGGAGTCACATCAATAATAGTGTAAGACTCACAGGCATGCTTGACACCGATGTATAGATACTCGTCACCACACCTATAAGTCTACTCAACAATTAACACATAGCAATTAAGACACAACTCCTAATCCCTCAAGGTAAGGTTAGACCAAACACTTACCTCAATGCCACGAACACAATTTAAGCCTCGACTATTGCTTTACCTCTCATTTCCACCACCAATTCACTTGTATCTAGCCTCAATTTACTTAATGATATCAATAATTGCTAAATGAATCAATTCTAATGCATGAAAATAGGTTTTCTAAAGATTTCCCCAAAAGTCAAAAATCGACCCCGGGCCCACATCATCAAAACTCGAGGTTCGAGCCAAAACCCGATTACCCATTCACCCACGAACTCAAATATATAATTTGTTTTGAAATTGGACCTCAAATCAAGGTCCAAATCCCAAAAATTTGAAAATCCTAAGTTCTACCCAAAATACCCAATTTCCCCCATGAAAACCCTTGATTTTGAATAGAAATCATGTGAAAAGATGTTATAGATTAAAGAAAATGAGTTAGAAACGACATACAATTGATTTGGAGAAGAACTTTTCTTTAGAAAATCGCCCAAGAGAGCTTAGGATTTGAGAGAGTTTGAAAAATGAAGAAAAATGCGTCTAAGTCCAAATTAACTGGTCGTAGATGTCGCAATTGCGAGCCCATTCAGGACCTGTTGTCTTCGCAAATGTGAAGAATCTGCCGCATTTGCGACCATGGGAAAATCCTGTCACCTTCGCAATTGCGAAGGAAACATCTCATTTGCGATTGGGAGGTCTTCGCAATTCCTACCCAGTGTTCGCATTTGCGAAAAGGGCCTGCCCAGGCTTGGTTCGCCTTTGCGACACTGAGGTCGCAATTACCAAGCCTGTCCACTTCGCAATTGCAAAGCCTGATCTCGCAATTGCGAGATCAGAGGCATGGGCAAAAATACCCGATTCCAACACTTGCTTATAAGTCCAATTTCACTTCGTGGCCTATCCAAAACTCACCCGAGTCCTCGGGGCTCCAAACCAAACATGCACACAAGTTCAAAAACATCATACAGACTTGCTGGTGCGATCAAATCATCAAAATAACATCAACAACTATGAATTAAGCCTCAAATTCATGAAATCACTCAAGAACATCAAAATTTCCAATTTCTCAAATAAAGGTCAGATTTATACTAAACGAACTCCTATTCTTACCAAACTTCACAGATTCAACTTAATTAGTATATAAGACTTGTACCGGGCTTCGGAACCAAAATATGGGCCCGATACCATCAATTTCAAACCTCTTTTCATTTGCAAAAACTTTTATAATTTCAGTTAAACAATTTCTTTCAAAAATTCATTTCTCGGGCTTGGGACCTCGAAATTCGATTCCGGGCATACGCCCATGTCCCAAATTTTACTACGGAACCTACGAGACCATCAGATCACGGGTCTGGATCCGTTTACCAAGAATGTTGAGCAAAGTCAATTTTATTCGATTTTAAAAGCCAATTTCCTTATTTTACTTAGTTTTCACATAAAAGCTTACCCGAAATGCGCCCGGTCTGCGCACACAAATCGAGGTGAGACAAAAGAGAGGTTTTTAAAGACATAAAAAAGTTCCTGAGTCGGAGAAACGATGGATATATCGGCTCCGCATATCAGACTCGGACTCCCAGGTAGCTGCCTCAACAGGCTGACCTCTCCACTAAACATGAACAATAGGGAAACTCTTCATTCTCAACTGACGAACCTGCCGGTCTAGAATAGCTACCGACTCCTCCTCATAGGACAAGTCCTTGTCCAACTAGACAGTGCTGAAGTCTAACACGTGGGATGGATCGCTGTGATACTTCTGAAGCTTGGACATATGAAACACTGGATGCACGACTGGTAAACTCAACGACAACGCAAGTCTCTAAGCCACCTCTCCCACTCGATCAAGAATCTCAAACGGGCCAATGAATCTAGTGTTAAGCTTGCCCCTCTTCCTAAATCTCATCACGCCCTTCATAGGTGACACCCGAAGCAACACTCGTTTGCCAACCATGAATGCCACATCGCGAACCTTACGGTCGACATAACTCTTTTTCCTGGACTGAGCTGTACGAAGCCTATCCTAAATGATCCTGACCTTGTCCAAGGCATCCTGTACTATATACGTACCCAACAACCGAGCCTCTCCCGGCTCAAACCATCCAACCGGTGACCGATACCACCTACCATATAAAGCCTCAGAAGGAGCCATCTAGATGCTCGACTGGTAACTGTTGTTGTAGGCAAACTCAGCTAAAGGCAAAAACTGATCCCACGAGCCTCCAATGTCAATGACACAAGCTCATAGCATATCCTCAAAAATCTGAATAGTACGCTCAGACTCCCCGTTCGTCTGAGGATGAAATGCTATGCTCAACTCGACCCGTGTGCCCAACTCATGCTGAACTGCTCTCTAGAAATGTGAGGTAAACTGTGTATCTCTGTCAAAAATGATAGACACGGGCACACCATGAAGATGAACAATCTCCCAGATATAGATCTCGGCTAACCTCCCAAAAGAATAGAAAACTGCCACAGGAATGAAATGTGCTGACTTGGTCAGCCTATCAACAATAAACCACGCTGCATCGAACTTCCTTTGAGTCTATGGGAGTCCAACAATGAAGTCCATAGTGATACGCTCTCACTTCCACTTAGGAATCTCAATCTTCTAGAACAAACCACCAGGTCTCTGATGCTCGTACTTTACCTGCTGATGATTCAAACACCGAGCCACATATGCAACAATATCCTTCTTCATCCTCATCCACCAATAATGCTTCCACAAATCCTGATACATCTTAGTGGCGCTCAGATGAATAGAGTACCGGGAGCTATGGGCATTCTCTAAAATCAACTATCAAAGTCTATCCACATTAGGTACGCAAACTCGACCCTGCATCCTCAAAACTCCATCATCTCCAACTATAACTTGCTTGGAACCTCCGTGCCGCACTGTGCCTCTAAGGATAAGCAAATAAGGATCATCATACTGCCGATCTTGGATACGCTTAAATAATGAAGAACGAGCGACCGTGCAAGCTAACACGCGGCTGGGTTCAGAAACATCCAACCTCACGAACTGATTGGCCAAAGCCTGAACATCCAAAGCAAGAGGTCTCTCACCGACCGAAATATACACAAGACTGCCCATACTGGCTAACTTTCTACTCAAGGCATCGGCCACCACATTGGCGTTTCCCGGGTATAAGATGGTGATATCATAGTCTTTCAATAGCTCCAACCACCTTCGCTGCCTCAAATTTAGCTCTTTCTGCTTGAACAAATACTATAGACTCTTGTGATCTTTGAACACCTCACATGACACGCCATATAGATAATGCCTCCAAATCTTCAACGCGTGAACAATGGTTGCTAACTCCAAATCATGAACTGGGTAGTT